GCAGTTCAAAAATCTAGACAACATGATCTAGTACGAGTGTCAATAGTAGTTGTTCAGACGAGTTGTTCTATTATTTTCGAACACAGTTCATACATATACGGATCCAAAAGTCTCGTCCAGGTACGTATCCTAATTATTCTCTATATTCGTACAATGACCGAATATCCCGGACATTAAATATATCATCCTCTGTATTAATCGCCCGTACTGGCAATCCATCGTAAATACCACGTTAGTTGATTTGAGAGTAGTCGTCCAATACGAAGATGAATATTTAGCAATGAACGACTTAGTCAAAAAAAATTATGGTTCAATTGGTATGATCTTTGGTCGATACTAATTTGTCTCGTAATCATATGCGAACAATTTGTTATCAATATTCTTTCATAACAATATGTTCTATCATTGAATTAGCCATGATTTTGATTACTAATTATGTGGGTAATATTAGTGAAGATTTTAAATTTTTCGTAGCTGAACAAGAATTAGATTTGTAACAGTTACGATTAGTTCAAAAATCAAATTTTTAAAAAATCTTAACTTAATTTATTCGGCTGACTAGGTTTTTCAAATCATACGCGAATGTACAATACACGTAACCCAAATGTGACATTACGAATTAGTTCATAGGAATAAAATGTTCAATAAGCCATAAGCCCAATTCTTTCTTATTGATACTCATATTATACGTATTGTTAAGTCTCCCGTATGATTAAGTACAAATTTATTAAACCTTTTAAAAATTTTATCTCATCTCCCCGTGTGTGTGTGCATTGATCAATTTCCTAATTGGCATGACTAGCTTTTATATGCCAGCTTAGGGGGCGTGAAAATACGAGTCGAGTCGAGGCCTGCGAGTCAGGGTTGTTCGATCAATAGCTCGTTTTGGTAAAAATACGGATGCTCGAAGCTTCCGACTCTCTCAAACGAGTGTAGTCCGAGCCTCGAGCTCGAGCCCGATCTAGAGAAAAAGCCGTCGAGCCTTCGAGTCATCGGTTCGAGACATCGGATCATCGCCGTCCCGTCGTTGCTCCACACTCGCGTGGAGTCAAGCTCGATCTCCGTCTGCAGTTCGTTCGTCATCCGTCCTGCGTCGAATCGAGATTCAGACGGTTTCGACAGCTATCGTGAGCTACCAGCGTTTCGCATTTTGTCGATGCCGTCGTCTGCGATCGCTGTCAACCGACATTCAGAGTCTGAGGAGTTCAGCATCGTGCTCGCTGCTATTCAACAACAACAAGGCCATTAAAAAGGAACTTAATAGCGACGTTTACTAGAACATTTACTATTGCCGCCTCCTATCCGAAGTTACTAATTACCGGTCGGAGATCCCACAATACTGTCTCTCATCCGCGACGTTTGCTCGCTGCGTCGCTGTCTACGACGAATGTACCGCTCCTGCTCGCAGGTCATCTCCACGAGATGAATTCCCTCACCGCAGTGGAAGGTTAACCCGGCCCCCGCTACAGAAGTCCCTCCCGGATCGAAGAAGTCTGCTCTCGAGCATAACTCGACCGAGCTATTCGGAGGCCGATGCATCCCCTGTGTTTCGAGCTCTGAGCTAAGATTAGCCAGCCGAGCTCGGAACTCGTGTTCGAGCTCGACTCGTGAGCTCGATAAGCTTCGGCTCATTCGAGTCCCGTTAACGAAGTCAGCCCGAGCCGGCTTGGCCTCGGTTTGCACCTCCCTCAACAGAGCTCGAGGAACAATAGAAAATAAATGAAAATATATATAAATAATATATAAGATTTTTGTTATACTGACAATACCCTTTTTCTATTAAACCGCATTCATCACTTCAGTAGGCCTTGAGTCTAGCGTAATGATCTTACTTGCATATGTAATACTACACACGACAAAAAGAATACAACAAATTAATAAGGTAACAAAGATTACAGAAATTCAATCAATAATGTTGTAATCACCGATAAAATCACTAATTAGGTGATTCATTGATTGCAAACACTATCCCTCGACCCCTTTCTGACAAGAACACACCCACAAGCATCACCTCTCATGTCTATCCATAAACCATACGTTCCAACCATCTCAAATTGCCCTCGTCCTAGTACATTCCGGCACCAATAACAATCATTCTTCCTAAATCTATATCCCATTCACAGGCACAAAATCCTAAACTCCTCCCCCCCCCCTCCTCACCTCGGCTTCAATTCACAATCCATTACACTGCAATGCCATCTTTCGCATCTCATGCTTACCTGCTAACAGTACCAGGACTCTCAAACAAAGGTACGTAAGCAAACCCATAATATAACTGAGTAAAGTCATGAAATCCTGACATCTTGTAACACTCTTACCGGCAAGTCTATATATGTAATGGCGCTGGCTACAGTTAAAAGCTGTAAATAAGACTTATTTCACTGTAACATAGAAACTTCTCTTGAACCCTCGTACTGTTCTTATCTGTTAGTGCTTGGCTGTTAGATAGGCATGAGATTAATCTACCAGTTTAGAAACGCATATTAAGTCATTTCAAATACGAGGAATTTTGTACTCTCTTCTGTTGTACAACATTTGAACATATCCCAACAGCAATTTGCAGACACTAGCTTCAGGTAGTGTAATGTGCGGCATTCACCCTATGCCTGAGGGGGCGAGCGGGCCAATTACCAGCCGCCCCCCCCTCGAAAAAAAAAAAATATTATATGATTATTTAGGTAATTTGTCCCACTCAATCTACTTTAGTCTTTATTACATGGATTTAGAGGCAATTGCCCCCCTAAAAGTTTTAAAATACTATGGTCTTTAGGCAATTTCCCCCAACATAATCAAACGATGAACCAAATACAAAGATAAATAGTAAAGAAAATCTAAAAATATCCGCCATGGGGCGCTACCCCCTTGGACCCTCGACATACCTGTGAAACGTACAATGATCAAGGATATGAACAAATAGGGGTCGAGCCGACTACAAGACCAAAAAAGACTCTACTCTTTATATTATCATTAGATTGAATTTTGTATGTTTTATTTCATCAAAAGTGAAAACGTTTTGGCAAATTTATATTTTGTGGACTAAGAATTGATTTTAATTATTATTTTTATACAGGTTTCTTGTGGACAATCATTTTTTAAGCTGAAATCATGCATCGATGCCTCTTGCAATTCAATATTTAACATGTTACTTTGTCTAAAATATATGGAGGAAAGTGCTCGTTCTTTTTTTTATTTCTATAATATGATTGCATGCAAAAATTTTTGTAGGTAAAGCTTAATATATCCATTGAAGAATCACATGTGATGGATTGTGTTATGCACACTACGAACAAGAGATTTTTTGATTTTCGATTGAAGGCTTATATATATTATAAAAATCATGGAGGTGGAATGTTAGCAAGAAAAAAGCATTTCCAAGAGCTTATTGAGAGATCATATGATTGAATTTCATTGTAAAATTTTTATGATTCATAAATATTTAAGGTATGTCATTAATTTAAAAGAAACTATATGTTTGCTAATTTACTTATATTCTCATTAGCGACAGATGCAACTTCTTATCATGTAATAAATTTGTGAGAAAAAATGAGTATTAAATATAATATGGCCAAAATGAGATGGACATATACATGAAAGACATCCATGTTAAAATATTTTAATTTCAAGCAAATGAAGACTAATTTTGTCGCTAATTATTTTTTGTTGTTATATTATGTTGAATCTAATATTTTTTTTAATACAGATAAAATTGAAATCGAACTCTCAGAATTGTCCAATGTTGAAGTTTGTTCAACGAATGAGCACAAAATCTCTTGTAGCATGTTTGTATGACTAGATATCTATAATTTTTCAATTATTTAAATTTCAATAATTATTAATTGAGATATATTTTGTTATGATGTAGAAATTAAGCATAATCAAATTATATAAGGAAGAGTTTAAAGAAAGAAAAGAAATGAGTTTATGAAAATTATAGGGCAAAATATGTTAGTATAAATTAAATTTATTATAATGTATTTATTAATAATATTTCATCATTTCTGTGTTGATTTTCCTTGAAATATATAGGATAAGATGATGGACATTCATTAGAAAATTATTGACGAGGGAGGAATAGTTGATGAGACTATAATTTATATTGATGTTTTAGGTGAAACATCTTTATATATTTGTGGCCTTGACTATGGGCAAAAGCCGATAAAGGAAACTAAATTTTTTAGATCAAATGCATCGTCCGAGAGATAGGTTGAGCTTCAAACTAGTTTTAAAGTTATGAAAAAGAAATACGAGGAACAAAGTAAGATCATTAAATGTCAACAAAAAACTGTAGTCCGGTTAAAAATGGTAGCATAACAAATGGGCATTTAGCCTCCTAACGATGATGGTAATTATGTAGAACAAGCATTGTAAGGTTGATTAAATAAGATAACAAATTTATTTGACTAATATTCTAAATTTCTTTTTCTAGGTCCAGATTTTCAAATGAACAAAATGATTATTAGAGTTATGATTTATTTTTGTGGTTTTATACTGTAATTTTTTTAAGTCTATTTTAATTTGTTTTTGCAGAAATTGTTGCCTAGTAATGGGGGAAAATTCAAGTTTGAACTGCTAGTTTCAATAATTTCTGTTAATTTATTATTTTTAGTCATGAATTTCTTGCGATAATTCTATACATTTTAAATATGTATTTCATTATAATTCTTAAACGTGCTAGACTGTATGATTATCCTGATCTAACCTGACAACCCAATAGCATTTTATGAATATATTTTTGACTACCTATTGAGTTTCCAATACATAATCAAGAGCCATATCTAACATGAGGATGAGCATTTATTTCACACCCATAATTTGACCCAGAAATCTCTGGAGCTGTTCTTTCTCTGTAAGTGTACCTAATTTAGCAAATTTGTACTGATTTTAATATGGCTCATGCATGGTTGCGTATTTGTAACGCTGATAGATTTCCTGATTGAAAAGGAAAGCTCCTTTGCTTTCCTCCCATCTTTGTCTTACTTTATAAGGGTTGTTCCTCTCTCCTTTTTACCCCATTGTTTATATTACCAGCCCTTTTCTAGATACAGCTTGTACGTGGTGAGCGGTAGTGGGATTCAAATTAATGAGTTTTTATTTATATTCCAGCATCCATGTTTTTGCATTAATAGAGGCCTCTTGGTTGATGTTTGTTACAGGAGAGCCCCGGCTGAACAAAATGTTGCTTAGAGATATAGCTTCTGCTATTAGCTGGTGAAGATGAGTCATGGAAGCAGCTCACTTGGTTCTGATTTGCATCATTTTATACGTTTTTCTGTTTCATATATATTGTGTATTGTGTCAATTTATTAATATGCGTGTAATGTTTTATAGTTCCTGTTAATGGCCTTTTGTTGTTGAAGTTATTGAATTGGAATGCAGGGGATATGACTAGTAGGAGGGCTTTTGAGTTCGGGAGGACACATGTTATCAAACCCAAGGGGAGACATCAGGCCACTATTGTCATGGTCACTTTTTCGCTATAAAACTTAGAATTTGACTTATGTAAATTCTTTTTTTAATATTTAATTGCCGTAATAAAACATTAGTTTTGTAGTTATTAGTTATTTGTTTCATGATTATGATGTGATAGTTTTAGTGTTGCGGCTATAGCCAATTGGTTCTGGTTTTTATCTAAGACTAGCGGTTATGGGCGACCTTACATGGTGCTTATGATAAATGATCTGGTTTTGAGGATGTGTTTAGTATTTTGTTTGAATCATTTTGGAAGTGTGCAGTTGTCATGGCCATTTGTGTTGGTGGGTCGTGGAAGGCCATTTAATGGGATGAATGATTTGTTTTTGTGGTGGTTGCTGTATCTTTGGGGTTGGGGAGAATGGCCCTGTTGGTAAGAATGGTTATGTAGCATGAATAATTTGAGCTATCTTTTAAGCCACTCAATTGAAGTTCCAGCATCAAAGAACTAATTGTATATCATTTTCCTTACTAAATAATCCGTCATAATAGATTTTGGCTTAGGAGTCTTGTCAAAGCGTTTCCAAAGAATGCCATGGGATTGGGAACTAGCAAGTAGGTAAGATTCCTTTGATGACTCGCATCTCTTGGTCTTGTTTATGTTAGTCATATACGTGTTAGGTTGTAAAGATTCCTCTTCACATATGTTGATTATTTTTTTAGATTGCCACGTCATTCATTTGCTTAATTCTAACTATTTGGCAGTCAACTTTAAATCTTTCTCCTTTCATTTCTTATCCCCAACCCAATTCATATCTTAGACTTGATTCATTCCTTATTATCCACCTGATTCCAACTATTTTGGTGCCAGTTTTATGAATGATTCAGTGATACCACCATAGATTATGAACCAGGTTTCCCTCTAGATTTTTTGGCTTCATGAACGCCCTGGTTGTTAAATAATACATGATTTTGGCACATCATTTGAACTCTGATATATATAGCTAAGGTTACTACAATTAGAATGCGAATTATTCAAACAGCTATAATTTCTTAACGATGTTTTGTTTCTTAAATCACTTTAACAGAAGCAATTCTTAGTTTCAAAATTTAAGCTTCTTGCTTTCATTTTTCATATATTGGAGTAAGTCTAGAACACAATGAAGCATCATTGTTAGCATTACCTCCTTTTTTTTTGAAAGTTTCAAAATTGACTTAATTTAAAGAAATTATCATTTCCTTTTATTTGATAACCATATTATCTGCAAGCATTTAACTATCAAGATGTTGCAACTCATTGGAAGGTGGAGCCCTTATGATTCTTGCTTTGGGTTGGAGATGGATGAAATGATGGGACGGCTGAAAGGATGATTCTACTGTGAGGTGTAATAGTCAATAAAGAGGGAAAAAGAAAATTGTTTGTCGATGTATCCTTAGCATGAAATCTGAAGGGGTTGGACTATAGTAATTGCCATGTATTTGGTTTGTGGGTAGAGTAGGTGATATTAGAAATGAGATGGAAGATTTTTTTTTTGTGATGAGAGGTGAAAGGAAAGAACAGATGGGACCTTGAATCAGCTGAATAGTGAATTATACAAAATGGAAGAACAAGCCGGCAGTATACCAACCTTTAAAGTCAATAAAAATTCTAAAATCATCCAAACACTAATGCGGCTGTAAGGAAAATGTTTGTAGGAATTGCTCTTTGGTATGAGGACAAAATAATCGTCAGCATGAATTAAAATGACACACTAACCAAATAATTTAGTTAATTAAAATAACAAGAGAAAATGTGAAAATGACATGGAAGTCCTTGAATACTTTTAAGTTGATAAATACTTAGCTACATAGTAACATTATAAGATCAGCCTGAACTCCAGTGGAGGCTTCCAGTGAAACGTTAGGCTGATAAAGAATTTAGAGTTAATTTGATTGGAAACAAATTTGCTTCATAATTTGTGCTGTAACGCATACATGTATGTTCCGCGAATTGATATTTTGTTGCTATTGGGGGCTATAAAACATTAGGGCTGAAGGGTCTACATTTGCTTTAGATTGGGTTTGGAGTCAACTTGACATTTAAATTCATCTTATTAAAGTGGTTTACAGTTGGAAGTCGGTCAACCTGTGTGAGCTGTCATATTATTCTAAGGTTATAAACTAGTATATTTTAGCCATTTTCACCAAACCCAGGACCAGTAATTGATGGTTCTAGTTTAAACGGATACTTGCATCTCCTTGATGTGTTTAAGGGAATGAGTTTCTTCTGACTATGCAATAGCTATTATGGTAGAATCTAAATTTCCAGTAAAGTGAAAAGGTTCCGTTGAAGCAAGTATCTTCAATCAAACTAATTCATTAAAGAAAAAATAATTTAATTCACAAACTCTTATTTTAGATCTTGCCCTTGAGTTTCTTTGCAGGTTGGTGACTGTCTGGGAACCTTCATTGAAACCTTTAAAGCTTCTTTCCTGCCATTCTTTGAGGAAATTTCAATTTATGTAACAACAATGCTGGTGAGTTGAACATAGATTAACTATTTTTTTCCTTTGATTGGTATTACATGCCTTTGCTTCTTGTATGAGATTAAAACCTTATATTTCTTTGTACATGGATGCTCCTATTTAAATGTTTGTTATGTTAGTTCCATTTCTACATATTGCCATGCATGTCAAATTGATTTTCCTTAAAGATGAGATGAAGAATCTGACGTGTTAGTAGATTTCTTGTTTATTTTATTACAAGTTGTGTACTCTGAAACTGTGAAAGGAAGGAAAATTTTTTCCATATTTGTTTTTTTCCTTTAACTGGTTACTCCTTAAGGTATGCTCAGAGAATAGCTAACAATTCAATGATCGTAGTTTGGTTTTGAGTGTTATTTATTTTCTATTTGCAGGTTTTACCTGATTAATTTTAGCTTCTTAATTTATTGTAATAAGTTCAAAGACACTACTTTGTTAATTTTAGTTTCATAATTAGTTGGAATACATTCAAAGACACTACTTTGTGAGCATTTATCATCGACATTAGCAAATTGAGCTTCAAGAGTATTTTTAATGTTTGCAGAAATAATAAAATGTAGTAGAATTTTTTTTGAACTGAAATCAAGCATCCATTTATTGTACTAGTTATCGTTACATTTATTGGTCTGTTTACATATATATACATATATAAATAATGAAATGTTGGCTTCTCAATAATGTGTTTTATGATTCAACATTGAATTATGGTATAAAGAAAGCACAATGAGAAAATGCTTCAGTTTTACCACGTACTTAACCTTTTATAGGGTTAAAAAATTGCACTCGTTAGTTTTTAGGAAAATTTGATCTCATTTGCCTTGGATATTAAATACATGGATTGAAAATTCTAAATATTTTAGCATTAAGAAAATTATAACTGAATTTACTCATTTTATCTCTTTTTTTTTGGTACTCATCTTGTTTAGGTCAAGGATAAAACACCGGAGGAAAGAAGAATAGCCATTTGTATTTTTGATGATGTTGCTGAACAATGTCAAGAAACAGCCCTTAAGTAAGGATTTTCCTCTTGAAGTTACGTTTGGACTTTGTAATTTTTTTTTTATTTGTTCGTGATGTTATCTTTATTGATCCATTAAACAGATACTATGATACCTACTTGCCATTCTTATTGTAAGCACGCAACGATGAAAGTTCAGATGTTAGACAGGCTAGTCTATGAACTGCAGATTTTCTGTTTTATAGAAGACTTGCTGATTCAAATCTTTGTCCGAGAGGCTGCCTTGAGGTGGAAAATATTGATCATTGTACAACTACATGTTTGAAACTGCTTCAGGTAATAAGTTTACTGAATTCATGGGGATTTATAGTGCCGGTTTTCTGCTCTTTCACGGATCGTATGAAGAAACTTAAATTGATTTCGGTTAGGAATCTATTCATTGCTAAGTTGTATTTTACTTTGCTTCTACATTCCTGGAATAATAGAAATAGAGTGAAGCATGACGATGTGGAAGAGAGTGATTTGTTGTGGCTAAAGTCATTAGTTTTATGACTATTCTACACAAAGACGATCATTTTGGGTAACTGGGGTACTAATCAGTCCTCTGGACTGTTCAACTTTTGGCACCCTCCTCCCAAATGGTACAAAATAAACATTGATGGATCCCTATGTAAATCGAACGAAGCTGGAATTGGTGGAGCAGTTAGAGATTGTAAAGGTAGATTTTTAATAACCTTTGGCTGTGGTTATGTTCATTGGAATAGTGCACAGTTGGAGCTATTGGCTTTTAAATATTTGAGAAATTTTATTCAAGATTGGATGTTTGAGGCAAATGGAATCATCATAGAAGGAGATAATCAAAATGTCATCAACTTTCTCCATAAGTTGTATAGCATACTGGAGAAGATGATGGGAGGACAAATGAATGAAGACATACTATTCATGAAGAAGTTCAATAATGTTTTTTTAATTTTGTTAATCGTCAATGTAATAAGTTAGCAAACTATTGTGCTAACTTAGCTTGTGAGTATAATTTTAATTGTGATTTTATTAGTGAGAATTACATTCCTTCTTACTTTGTTACTTTGTTAAAGGAGGAATGTGATAGGTTGCCTTTGATTTAGTAGTTTGTATCTAGGTTTTTCATTATAATGCATTTTGCATTTCTTTTAAAAAAAAAAAAAAAAAAGTGGCCAATAACTTCTTGTGGCCATTCAAGCTGAAAGCACCACTTGGAGGCCTAACAAAGAAGAGGAATCATTATGTGGAGGGTAGAGATATTGGAAACAGGGAGAACTACAAAATTGAGCTAATCGGAAGGGTGAACTAAGTTTTCAGAGATTCTGTGATTGATGATTTCAGAGGACAAATTTTATATTTTAATTGATGAATGTATTTTAAAAATATATGAATGAATATAATATTTATTTTCTTCTAGAAAATCCTTATTAATTATATTAATGAATGAATGTTTTTTTATTCAATACTTTTTATTTTTGTGAACTCAAGGTAATAAAATTAGTATTATTTCTTTATTATGAATTTTATATGTCTAATTAATGAGAAATATTTAGATGCAACAACATCAAGAAGTGATTGATTGATCTTAAATGTTGTAGCTAAGGCATAATAATTGAATAAGCAAAAAATTTTGCTAAACATCACCAAAATTGATATACATAAATATATATCTACACTTCATGAAATTTAAGGGGGGTGTGATTTATTTAGTTGATCATTTTGCATCCAACTATTATTTTGTTTGATATAGGAAAAATGTAATAAATAAAATTAATAATTAAAATTACCAAATAGCGTCCAAATAAATATTCATTAGCATAAAAAAAAAATCACTAATATATAATTTTTCCGGCCAATACTTATTAATGTAATTAATTTAGCAACAAAAAATATTTTTGCTGCTAAAAGCCTTTTTTTTGTAAAGATGCAAATTGCATTAATAGAAAGAAGGGAATTACAACAACTAAAGATAGTAATCACTCTATTTTTGCAAATAAAACAAAGAAGAGGAATGCAATTGTCATAAAAGCAATAAAAAATAAAACTACTACTTAAAGCTCAATTTCTAGAAATCAAAAAAAAAAAAAAAAACATTATTAAAATCATTAAGGAAAATAATATCTTTATTCCAATCTTCATATTGCCGCCATTTTGCCTTCTTCAAGGATTCTTGAAGCCACTTAATCACATTCTTGTTGCCTCCTATAATTATTCCCTTATATTGGAACATCCATTTTTGCAAATGCTCTCTAAGTAAAAGAATAACTTGTAACTCAAGAGTAGCTGCATCCCAATCCTTCTTCCGCTTACCAAAAGCACAAAGAAATCGACCTTTATGATCTCTAATAATAACTCCAATTCCTGCATTATAAGATTCCTTAAGGGAAGCATCCACATTGACCTTTATCCAATCTAGAGGAGGAGGATGCCAAACATCAAAAGACTCCATTCGGAGATTAACATCTAGTTTTTTGGTATTGGACTCTTTAGCAGCTGCATACTAAGTGTTAAAGCATTGGAAGCCAAAAAAATTAATAAATAATATATCCAATCCAAGCTTTATTTGGTTACGCCGCTTCTAGGATAAATAAAATGTTGTACAATATAATTTGACAATATTTAAATTAACTCTAGACATTCTTTTCAACTCCTCTAAACAATTTGAAAAGCCATCAAAAATAGGAACTTGAAAACCCCATTCACGAAGTTTATACAAAATCTGAAGCAGCTACATACAACAAACAACCAAATGTTTCTGATTTTCCACCTCATGACACCCAATAGCACATCTATTTGTTTGCAATAAGTTCCTATAATTCAAAAAGGAGTTGGTAGGGAGAGCATTCTTACATAACATCCACTAAAACAATTCAACTTTTGGCAAAAGTTTGAATTTCCCGATGCAATTCAGATTCTTGGTTTGGTTCTATTCCTTCGGCCTGTGATGGACAACATATTCCATCCAAACTTCAAATGAAAGAGCGGTGATTGATTTAACCAAATGCTTCTTAATAAGCTCAATACAATCTTCATTAAGATATGGAAATAGCTTAATTAGTTTGATGACCGAAATCAAGTCTTCATTAAAAAATTTTTGCAACTCCAAACAATTCCAGTTGCCATCATTTGATATAAATTTCTGAACTAATTCATTAATGAGTTCATCACGATTAACATAAGTAAGCCATTTACTCAGTGGTTTATCAAAGATCCATGTGTCACTCATAATACTTACTTTACTTCCATTCACTAGCTCCCATCTCACAACATTTTTTAAGTACTTTGATCCATTCACCAGAATTTTCCATGATGGAGAAATACCTCTTTTAACCATACCACTCTATACATCACTTCCATATTTTGAAATGATGGATCTATTACATAATGACTATGGATTCTGAATGAATCTCAAAGCAACTCTAGACCTCAAAGGTCCCACTTTATCAACAGAAGAATGAAGGCCCAATCCACCAAGAAACTTTGGTTTACAAAGCTCTTCCCATGAAACATAGTGTAGGACTTTATTGTCTTTGTCTTTATGCCATAAGAAATCTCTACAAAGTTTATCCAGCTAATATAAAATTCTTTTAGGGACCAATAAATGTATAGCTAAAAAGATAGGTAGTGAAAGAAAAGTAATTTTTATCAAAAGAACTCTTCCTACCAATGAAAGACATTTATTACTCCACACATTTAACCCCTCCAATTCATGGTCTAGAATAATTTAGAAATCAGAATTAACTAACCTTCTTAGAGCCATCTTAACACCTAAGTCTTGCATTTCTTTCACAATTATGAATCCCAACTTTTTAGCAATTTTCTTCTTACTCCTCTTGACTGAATTTCTAAGTAGGATTTGAGATTTCATGTTGTTCAATCTTTGGCAGGTCTACCCACAGAAATCCCTCAAGATTTTCTTCATACAAAGAGAAGATCTCATAGAAGCATTTGAGACTAATAATACATCATCAGCATATAGTAAATGTGTAAATTTTTAAGATTTTGGAGAAACCTTAATACCCAATTCAACACCCCTTTGATAACTGGCATTAGATAGTAGCTGGTAGCACAAAATATACAAGTAAGGGTATAGTGGGCAGCCTTGCCTAAACCAACTTTTAGCTTCAATCCAACCCAATCTTCTTCCATTAATAAGTATAGAAAACCTCACCTTTTGAACACATTCCATAATAAGATTAATAAGTCTTTGTGGAAAACCAAACCACCATAACATCTTAGCTAGAGTTAGCCAACACATACTATTATAAGCTTGCTCCATATCAACTTTCACTGCATCAATCCTTTCTTAGAGTTAGAAAATTTGAACTTTATTGAAGATTTCTTGAGCCAATAAATAATGCTCCGACATAGATCTACCAGGTAAAAAATAGTCAATTTCATCTTTAGTAAATAATAATGCTAAAAGACTTAGCGACAAGGCTATTGTGATGACCAGCGACCAAAATATTTTTTGTTGCTATTCACTTTAGTGACCAAATTATCATTTTTAGTGACCAATTTTGATGGTTGCTCAGAACTCATTTTCTTATAGTGTGTACAGACTCTTTAGACCATTAAGAATCTCCCTCCTTTCACCTCCTTGGCCTGGCACAAATGTCATTCCTCCTTTAAATTTTTTAGCTCGACGGAGATGTCAATCCCTCCTCTCGCCTCCTCGGCTTAGCGTATATGTTGTCCGTCCTTTCATCAATAAGTTTGGTGAGATGCATATCCCTCTCACTTTCTTGGCACGACAGAGATGATGTCACTCATTTCGCCTCCAAACTCAATGGAGATGTCATCTCTCCTTTCAACTCCTCATACCGGTGAAGATGCCACTTCCTCCTTTCACCTCTTGGTCTTACATTGATTTTAAAACCATAGCCTCATCGTCTAGAAGGCCTTTGGCTCAAAAGACTTTTCTTCCCAAAGCTTATTTCGAAGTGGTCCACTAAAAGGCGACTGAAGGACATAAGGTGTAGGATAGTGGAGTAGCCAAGTGAATCCCCTCATACTCCCTTGATTCCACAAGGCTAGTCTCCCTCTCTTAACCTTACCTCTTGTCTCCCTTTTGGACTGGAATTTCTCTAAGATCTCTCCCAAGAAAGAAAATGACTTTGATTACCAAAAAACTCTTACTATAGAACATAACAAGAGTTTATAAAGAGGGATCCAAAAAATCATAAATTTTAATTTTAAGTCTTCTAAACTTACTGTATGATGCTCAAATCATAAAGTATGATTAGTTCAATCGAATAACAAATCATCCAGGATGAACCAAGGTTCATCTATTTAGCTCTCAGGTGGATTGTCAAGTATGATTTATAATCGTATAATATAATTATTAATATTAATTTGATCTTATTCAATTGCTTAGTACTTAGAATAAAATTAGATAATTTTAATTAATATTCATATATTATAAAATGGTTCATTCAATATAATCAACTCAAATTTAAAATTAGCCCATTTTTAAGTAACCTTGATTTGATGATGGGGTTTCTCAAATAGTTAATCATCCTGTATGATATGATGATTGTACAATAAGCTTAGTTATACTCTAATTTCAATTAATCTCATTTAATTAAATATTTTAATAAATTTTTGTTTGATATAATTGTACAGTATAATTAATAGAAAAATTAAAACATTCAATTTTCATCCCTCCTTGTGTTTGTGCATTATCGCCAAGCCGAGATACATCAAATATATAAAATGACTCAAGAAAAATGAAAATATTGGCTTTTTCAAATGTGAACTAACTTATACACTAACACATACTCTCTTGAGTTGATTACTATACCTAAAAATTGTTAGTTTCAAACAAAATAAATATTCAATATATAATAGAGTCATAACTAATTAAACATCTAATAATATTTATAATCATTAAAATACAAATTTGGTGTCTCCCAAATTTTAACAACTTCCTCCCCTGGCACTTAGGTAAATTCAACCTTGCCCAGAATACTTAGCTCCTCT